TGTGTGTGTGTTGCTCTGCACTTAAGAGCATCACAGGAAGGAGTTCTCAGTAGAACAGAATTCATAGGGACCATATAAAGCCACCCTGGTGAAAGCCAAAAGGAATCCCTAAAATAAGTGAATTGGAGAAGGGTTTGGGGAACACTGGTATATGACATCAGTTGAAGTGAAACCAGTGACCACAATGTGAGAAACCCTTCCTCAAAAGTGCAGACCTCAGTTAGCACATAAGGATATAAACTGTAGTGAGGTTATATAAGTATTTCTAGTACAAGGGGGAAAAAAAACTGTTCACATTGGAGAGAAACCTCCAGAATGTAAAGAATGTGGGAAAGCCTCTTGTGACAACACTGCTTTTGTCCAAAATATTTCCTGCTTTTGAGAAAATTTTTAGTGGATCATTTATGGATTTTTGTGACAGCTGTTTGTTTTGTTTTGTTTTGTTTCCTTCTCCTCACATAATGGTCCTCAAAAGAAATCCCTGGTGCAGAGAGTGTGGGACGACTTCATTTACCTTTTTTTTAACCCCTGATATAATAGGATCCACACCAGAGGAAAATCCTTTGAGTATAAAAGCATATTGGATAGCCTTTTGTGGCAGCTCTTTTCTAATCACCTAGGGAAGAAACCTCGTGAATAGAAACTGTGGGGCTGTGACTGTGGGGAGGCCTTCATCCTTAGTTCATCCCTGACTCAACCTCAAAGTATTCACATTGGAGAGAAATCCTATGAGTATAAGAGATTTAGGAAAGCCATTTGCAGGTGGACTTAACTCAGTCAACATTAAAGAACCCATACTGGGGAAGGATTTTTTTTAATATAATCACTGAAGAAAATTTCTTGGCCAGAGAAAATCTCTCACTTGGACTCTAAAAAATTATACCAAAGAAAAAGTCTATGAATATAATTGCTGTGAGGAAATCTAAGGCAAATCACTATGAATGTCAATAAAGATTGTTTGGACATTGATCTACCTAGGACCTTACTCTGGATCTAAGAATTGATGAAGGAAAGACAACCAGTGGCTCTTGTGCAGTCACAAAAAACCTTCAACTGTAGCTACCCTATAAATACACACACTGAAAACAATCACAGGTATATTATAAAAACAACACACAAAAAGTACGAAGAAGAAAAGAAGTTAACACATCTGAAAAAAGAAATGTATTCGTGGATTCTTCTATGTTTTCCTGACAACCCCATTGCTGTGTGGAAAGGGATGGCCATTGTTTGACAGAGAAAAGGGCCTTATCCCCTTCCCTTGACAGACAAAGGGGCCTCATTCCATATAGAGCAAGCTCTGTAAATACTTACTGAAATCCTTTTTTGTTACAAAACATGGCCTAAACCTTAGGGAGCATAAGTCTCTGCAGTAAATATGAAACCTTGATGTACGAAACATATTATACTCAAAAGAGATTAGAATACAAAAAAATATTGCCTAAATTTATTTAATGCCTATGGAGATAAGGACACACAAATGACTGTATATATTTTACTATACCACTCTGACAGTTTAAGGTGTCAACTTTTATTTTTTAATTAAGATCAAATTGACATATTGCATTGGGAGCACGTAAGACATATGACATAATAACTTGGTACTTTATTTTAACATGGTTGCCATGTTAGTGTTAGCTAACTAATCTCTGTTGTGCCACAAGTCTATCACTTATTCTAATGGTGGGAGCAATTAAGATCTGGGCTCTGAACAAATTTAATAGTAGTTTTGTTGTTGATAACCCCTGTACTGTAAAGAATTTATTTGTTTACTAGTTGCATGTATGCTCTTAAACATCTCCTCAGTGCCCCCACCTCCAGGCTTTGGTAACCACTCTTCCTCTTTTTTCCAGTTTGAGGCTTTTTGTTTTTAGATTATACATATGAGCGATATCATACAATATTTGTCTTTCTCTGTCTTACCTCACTTAACATAATGTTTTCATAGTCCATCCATGTTGTTACAAATGGCAGGAGTTCTTTCTTTCTCATGTCTGAATGTTATTCCATCATTAATAATACCATATTTTTTTATCCAGTCTGTTGATGGGCACTTAACTTGTTTCCATCTCTTGGATATTGTGAACAGTGCTACAGTAAACATAGGAGTGTATGAGAAAATATCACTATGTAACAAACAATTGCAGAATGTCCATGACATAAAACAACAAGCATTATTTTATGTGTCTATAGGTCACTTGAGTTTGATCTCCGCTGACCATACTCTGTACATAGTCTGGAGGTTGGCTAATATATCCCAGGGCACTTCTACTTTAGAGTTCTGTTTGCCAATTTGTCAGTCTGTTCTTTGTTTTTCTGTTTTCATCCTTCTACACCACTGGCTTATCCAGGATATAAACCATCACTGTGAGGCTAGTGATCGCAGAGATGGATGAAAACAGCCCTTCTCAGAATGCAGCTTAAGGATCTGTTTATGTTGTAACTGCTAACATCCCATTGTTCAAAGCAATGGCAAAGCTTGTTGGCTAATCCACAAAACAAGTGATTTTCCACACAGATCAAGGAAAACAAAGTGAATATTTGAGAATAATAATCTAATATGCCAATGTTTTACTATTTTCAACCATACTGTGGAGAGCATTCTTCTAGGAGTCTACTGACACATAATTACAAGAAAATATTTTCAAGTGTAACTGAAACTGGACTTGCTGACCCATAGGATACATTTTTCAAATTTGCTAGACATTGCCAAATTGATTGCCAGTAGTTAAAATAAGTGCATTCTATCCAAGAATGTATGAAAGCTTCCTCTCTTTGTTCCTGCCAGTATTTGGTATTGTTTAATCAGATAGATGGGAATGAATTATTGTATTTTTATGATTTTACTTTGCATTCATTAGCAACTACTGAGAGCTATTGTCTCTTTTATTTAATTGACTATTCACATTCCCATTTCTATAAGTTGCCCATTTATCTTCTGTGTTCATTTTTCTGACTAGTAAGTATTTTTATATATTTTGTATTGAAATCTTATGGGGAGAAACTGTTATTGTCTCCCAATCTGCCATCTGTATTTTATCTTTGTATATAGTAATTTTTAATTTCCCTAAGTTGCCAATATTAATGTTTGAAATTGTATCAGTCTTACCCATTATGATTTGTACTTTCTTTTTGACTGCTTTGTTGAAGTATAATTAATGTAAAGAATAAGTAGAGTGTGTATATATGAGTATATATATATATATATATATATATATAAGGTGTTTAATGAGCTTGATTTACCTGT